TCTTCATCCTTCGGAATTTTGGGTTCTTTTTCCACCGCCTTTCTCCGACGAATCGAAGACATATTTGGAAGTACTCAATCAAGAACCTCTAACTAAATTTCATGAATTAATCGTCTCTATAACATCATTTAAATCTCTATATACCGCATTTTCCACCTGAACTTATAAGAAGCAAAACAATCTAGGGAACAAAATTCGAACAACACGATCTTGCGGGAAGGAAAAAAAAACTAATTAAACATTTGTTTATGTTAAAATCCGTAGGTAATGAAGAGGAAATGCGTCTTTCCAACCCGGAAAAGGTTGCTTTTCTGGGCAAAAAATCAGCGCCAACTCAAAGCTAAAAAAAATACCTACAAAGCTAGAAATAAACGCCGCTTTCAAGAGATAATCCGAGAGCTTTGTCGTCACTCTATGGAGTACAAACAGAAGCTTTAGCTTATCAATCAATGGCAGGTCGGATCGGGAGGAGCTGCCGACTGCTCAGCAAGATAATCAAAATTATGGCAGAAACGAAACTCGGCTGGCTCTACGTGCTTGCTATTGCTTTCAGATTTTGACGGAATCGTTTTTTATAAATTGGATTTTAAATATATATTAATTTATACGTGGCAGTATTTTATTGGCTGAATTTTTGTTAATTTTATATTTGTTATCCATCGTGACTGGCTATCTTAATGAAATGATGGAACCAAATTGATGGACGTGATTATGGAGGACCGTCTTTCTTCCATATGCGCAACGACAGTGGATTTTAATTTCTATGTCTCTGGGCCCCAGCACGTGAAGCACGTGTGCCTGGCACACGTACGACGTCGTATTATACTACTTCTAGATGTTTGCTTCCAAAGCATGTTGGGTACATGAAATCCAATTTTAGACTAAATTATAATAAATAAATAAATAAATAACAAAAAAAAATAATTAATAATCATTATTTATTAAATGTAATTTCCTTTCATAAATATTTTAAATTATCATCCGAGCTTAAATTCGCTATAATTTAAATTAAAATTGAAATTGTGAGAGTGATAAAATTTAAATGGGCCGGACTTTTGTCTATTGGGCCTTGAAAAGGACTCACTTGGGCTTTTCAGAGAAGATACTAAATTTAATTTTATTTTTTTTTTAAGAAAAACATTTATCAATTTTTGTACAATAATTTGGAATTATTAAATATTTAAATTTAACAAATATCAAAGTATTCTCAAAATTAAAGAATAATAATAATAATAATTCGTTTTAGTTTAGATATGGTTAATTTATTTAATTAAATAGATATTATAATATTGGGTAAACTATTTTTATTTTTATTTCCTTCGTCAACAAATTTTAATATTCAAAATAATAAAAAACTAAATCAATAAAATTAAAACTTTATAAATAATAAGTACATAAAAATTATTATAAAGCTAAAGGACCCCGGGTTGGTTGGGGTCTTTGACTCTCATGTAAAGCAGCTAATTAATTGATTCTTTCACAGTAAGAAGAAAAGCGTAGATCCAGAGATTCTCGAATAAGTGAACTTTTCAAACTTCCAAATAGAGAAGTTATGAATTTCCAACCGCTTCATATAAATTGTTTTTTAGCTGTTGGTCAGTTTTATTATAATTTTATAATTTTATTTTTAGACATATATATATATATATATATATATATATATATATATATATATATTAATTCCATTTAAGAAGTCTACATCATTATGTCTGTAACAACCTCCAAAATGCATGTGATTGCTGGGGCTGCCTCCTTAAAAGCACGTCAGTAATTTAATTTAATTTATTTAATGCTAAACCTTGACCAATCACAAATTTCCACCTCATTTCTTATATTGATAAATTTATAACTAATTACAAATTGGCCGGTCTCGATAAGTTATCGAGTCTTCATCATCGATGTTTTATTGAATAAGTTGGTTTTGGTTTGTTTGGGTCGTGAAATTTAGACTTCCATTTCATTGAATCTAAAAACAGTACGATCATAAGGTACGTGTTATTCATGTAGCAAATAATTTCATCTAATCAAGCTCGTAAGCATTATGATACTAAGTTCACATACAATTTTTTATTAAATCGGTGTTCCTAAACTCCATAGACTGAACGGTGCTAGGTTCAATTTCACTATGACCGTCCATCCATTAAGAATATTGAGGTTAGAGCCTAGTCGTGGAGCCAATATCATTTAACTATCGTAAATAAATTATAAACTGTAGTAATAAAAATATTTAACTTACCCAATGGTAATTTTTTAAAAGTAAAATGGTGGTATATTTAACTTACCAAATGCAAGCAAAGCATAAAGCCCTAAAGTTTTTGCTTTTTGTAATTTCTATGAATAAAATTATTAAGATTGCAAAAGATATAAATTTAATTTTTAATTTAATTTTTTATTTAAGAAAACCATTGCCTTGAAATCACAAACAAGCCAGCCCTTTGGTCTACAAATTCCAAACTTAGCTTGGAAGGAGACATCTAAAAAGTGAAAGCATAACCATACACTTCTAATCTTAGTGTGACAAGAAAATTAAATTTTATAATATAAAGTCTATAAAGTTAATTAATTACATATTATTAATGTATTAAACACATTATTATATAGCGTTATTTGGATCGACTTTCCGCTCATGAAAGATATAATCGGCGCTTGTCGCCCCAAAACAAAAAGCATCTTCATTATCATGTTGCTTTTCTTAATCGCTAAGACATTAAACCTATGAATACCAATCTGTCTATTTTTTAGGTTTAGTTGGGATATATTTTTTCGAGTTTGAGTTGGGTTAAATTTATATTAATCGAAAATTCGGTTCGTCTGTAGGTTGACATTTTTGTTAGTCGGGTCAACCCGACCAACTCGAAAATAGGGTTATAACCCAACCTTATTCTACTTCAAATCAATAATATTTAACGTTTGTAACCAATGTCATTGATGTGTTAACTTGTAAATGTTTGATATTTTTAACTTTATGGATTTTAGATATTAATGTAATAAAAACAATTAGACAAATCAACCCAACCTAACCCGAAAATAAAAGATTGGGTTGGGTTGTGAACTTTATTAAAGTTGTTCGGGTCACCAATTTATCCAACCCAAAATTTCAAGTTTGTCTAAAAACAATTTTCAAACCCAACTCAACTCAACACGTGTGTACTTCCGGGGGTTTAGGTATTGTGGATAATTATGTTTTTTTTAAACAATTAAAAAGAAAATCCGACAACTCAGCCCAACCCAACCTGAAAATAGAGGGTTGGGTTATGAATATTTAAAATTTTCAAACCCAACCCAACTCAACCGATGTACACTTTTAAAGTTCGAGTCTCAGGTCAATGCAACACGATATGCTAGTAATTAAGTAAGTATAGTGAGATGAAATGTTTTTGGTGTGATTGGGTTAGTAGGAAACATGGAATGACAAGGTCGTACAAATAATATGATTGTGTGTTGTTTGATTAGCTTGTATTTGACAGGTTTTTGTTTGTCTGGGATGGGGACAACTTCCGCCCCCATCCAAACACCCATATTTCTCCGGTAAGGGACGACCGCTAACCCCCCAACCTCCTCCAAACGGATGCCGCTCCATTCCCACGTGCTTCTGTTCCCATCGCCACCTCTATTATTTATTTATTTATTTTCAAAATAATAATAATAATTATTATTTATTATTATTTTTTATCAGGTTGGTCCCACTTTAAATTATTTTTTATTATTTTAGTATATAATAATATTATCAAGAAGTTTCAATTACTAATTTAGTCTTTAAATTACATTGAACTTTCTCTAAAGTGTGTCGAACTTTGAAGGTGGTGACGATCCGTATCGAGTCAAAACGGACAATATTTGTTAGTCATGAGTTCAACCGTTACAAATTGACAGTGTACTAACAAGAACGTGGACATCTAAAAGAGATGAATTGTGAGATCTCACCGTTGAAGAGGAGAATGAAACTTTCTTTATAATGACATGAAAACATTTCCCTAATAGACATATTTTAAAACATCAAAGTCAAAGTAACGATATCAGTCATAGTTAATATATCAAATATCTTTTTATTAAATACAAAATTGAAATTTTAAATATTTAATAAATTATTTAGATTTGTTGGGTATTTTAAAAATAAATAAAAAAACATACACAAACACAAAAATTAATGAATTAAAGTAATAATTATTGAAATGGAATATTTTGGATTTGGGTCAGAAACACAACTGGCGACAAAAACGGTGCGCTCAGTGCTTCGGTTCCGTCCCGTTTGGTTTTGCGTGAAGATGGCTCTAGAGCCATTTATTTCTCCCAAGTCGACTCGGTCCCTAAGCGGCTTGGGAAGCCCTTCCCTCTACGCCAGAAAATGACAGCCAATCTCGTCTCTTTCTTCCCAATTTAAATTACCTTAATTAATAATATATTTATAATTAATATTTAATTTAATTTAATTTATAGCTTTTAATACAATTTTTTTACCATTGTAATTTCCTAAACCTAAACCATTCCCAAAACAACATTTCAGCAAGCGGGTTTATTTTCAAAGTATTAACCCATTGTAAATAAGGTAAATATTATAGTTGGGTCAGATAAAAAGTCAATATCAATTTGATTAAAAGAATTTGAGGTATTAGATAAAATATTATTATTTAATTTAATTTTTTTTCGTAGAATAATTATTTTATTAATTATTTTGATTATTATTTTTTTTGGTATAATTGCTACTTTACAATATGATATATATAATTTATAATATAGAGAAATATAATTGTGCATTTAAAATTTTATTTATAAACGGGTTATATTAAAAACATAAAAATATTAATTTTAGAATTTATACAAATAAAAAGAAAAAAAAGTGAATTAATTTAGGTTTATTCGGCGATAAAGTAATAAAAATTTTAATGGATAGAAGTGGAAAGTTAGTGGTTTGAAATGATTTATTTATTTATTTTTCTTTTGATTTTATTTTAGATCCAAAAATGTTGGTAGTGCACGTGAGTGGGTCACCAACCTCGTGTCTGAATCATATCAAATTCCCAAACACAAAAACGCCTCTCCTCTTTCTTCCTTTCTGCAGAGGCGGCGGCGGAGGTCCACGGCTGCGCTACGCATTCAATACATAGCCACATAGGGCGGCTCTGCGTTGTGTCGCGCCGGAGCGAGCGTTATGGAGTGTAGAGAAGTACCTCTGTACGTTTCTGCAGCCCAAATCTCAATGGTCCACTGAGAGAAGAAGAAGAAGAAGACATTGAGTGCGTTTCACTCCTCGTAACTGGCTTTCACGCTGATCGTCGGAAAAGGAAAAGCAGAAAAGAAAAGAGAGATTGAAGTCTGCTGGAATGAAAGCGATTGAAGGGAGGAATGGAGGAAGGAAGAATCTGATGAATGTGTGTGTTCGCGCGCTTAAAGTTTCGTAGCCACGAAACCCTCTTTTTCTAATCCCGACGATTCGATTCGATTCGATTACTTCCAATCCAATCGACTTTTCCGTTCTTCTTCTCCATAATCGGTTTCTTTCTCTTTCTACGGGTCCTGATTGAAAGTTATGGAAAGCGACTGCTGGACGTGATCGTTTAATCTTTTGCCTTTTTCTTGTCCTGCTACTGGTGAATAGTTCTCTTCATTCCATTCCATTTGCTTTGCTTTTCTGTCTTTTGTTTCTTTCTTTTTTATTCCATTGCTTTATTCTTCCGTATTCCTTAAGCCTTTCGATTTTAATCTTCTTTTTCTTAGTTACTTTTTGATCTTGGTTCAGTTCATAAGAGACAAGATCTTTGTGATTCTGCGCAGTTACTGAGCTTCTCGAACTCGGTTCGCCTAAAGTCATTGGCGTTAAAAAATTCAGTGGATTGCTGCTTTCTGTACCAGAGATGTTGACGTGCGTAGCCTGCTCGAAGCAACAGAACAATGGATCTCTGCACCAGCAGGAGGGAGAAGAATCCGTTGCTACACCGAGGACTAAACAAACAATCAAGGCCCTCACTGCTCAGGTAAACATTTCCGTTCTGTGTTTCTGTTTCTATTCTCCAAAATTTCAAGTAAATGAAGTCTGTGGTTGCTTGTTTCGTACAATTTGGAGGGAAATTTTATCTTATGGAATCGTTGTTGATTGAACATTTTGAAGATATTTATGTTCTTTCGTTTTCATTTTCCTTCACTTTCTCTGGAATCAAAATGGAGGAACAAGATAATTCTTCGATTTTCGAAGTTGGGGAAAAGAGGCCAGATGATGAATCAATGTGAAATTGACGTGTTCCGCATTGTTCTTTACTCTCTTGAAAGCTCATTTTACTGTCAAATTGATGTTTATGGCTGAAATTCTTTCTTCGACTTTCAGATCAAGGACATCGCCCTTAAAGCCTCTGGAGCTTACAAGAACTGCAAGCCATGTTCAGGTTCATCTAGCGACAACCGCAAGTATAAATATGCAGAATCTGATTCTGCATCAGATTCGGCGAGGTTTCATTGTCCTTACAGGCGGAATGGGAGTTCAAATTCCACACCAAGGCAATGGGGAAAGGAAATGGAGGCCAGATTGAAAGCTCTGTCAAGTGGGGAAGGAACTCCAGCTTCAGGGAGTGGACGAACTGAGATTGTTTTCATGGAAGAAGACGAACCCAAGGAATGGGTAGCGCAGGTGGAGCCTGGTGTGCTTATCACTTTCGTTTCATTTCCACAAGGAGGAAACGATCTCAAACGAATTCGTTTCAGGTAAATCATTTGGATTTCAACTGTTGCTGAAGACATCAATTTACAGACAAACTATATGAACATTTACCACAACTCATTTGCTTAAACTTTTAGATTGATTGGTGATTTAACATTTGCTTAGCACGATAATTCTTCCCAATTAATATTGATTTAGCCATTCTACAAAATTTCAAACTCACAAGTATGGATATAATTAAACTTAATGTCATCAACTTTTGGGTTGACTAATTAGAGATTTCTTTAGTTTTGTATGTAAGATGAAGTTTCAGACTGAAAATGTTCATATAGTTTGTTCTCTGGTGCAATGAAATTTCTCCAGATTGCTTCCCAATAAGATCTGTACTTACCTTGTCCTGTAAAATAAGCTTAGGAGGTGGAGTCTTGTGATTTGGTTTGGATTAAACATTCTATTTCATTCCCTTCTTTTCCATGCTTGTGGGTATAAGAATCATGAATTTGAATATCATTAACGCATTAAATCTTCCTGTAATTGCTTATGATTGATTGCTAAGCCTCGTTTTCTTTCATCAATCAGCCGTGAATTGTTCAACAAATGGCAAGCTGAAAGATGGTGGGCGGAAAATTATGAGAAGGTTATGGAATTGTATAATGTCCAGCGGTTCAACAGCGAAGCTTTTCCCCTCCCGCCATCCCCTCCACTGTCAGAAGACGAGGTGAGTTTTGAGCATCGTACTAATCGTGATATAAGTCGAAGTTTTGAAATGGTTAAAATTACTTTCGGTCATGTTTGCAGATTAGAATGATAAGAGTAATATTTTTTTCCAGGGATCCAAGATTGAATCTGCCAAGGACAGCCCCGCTACTCGACATTTGACCAACCAGCGGCTTCCTCAAACCTCCGATCACCCAATGGGAAACTCGTTATCCAAGTCACTCGATCACCATCCTAACCAACCCACTCATGGCTATGATTTAACTTCATCCATGAAACCCTCCAGTGCTAACGATGCCAAGATCGAGACACCATCCGTAGATGGTTCTGTGAGGACGAGTGAGGGAGACCAATCAGAAGAAGATTTTTCTGTAAGTAATGCCAGTGATCTGGAGACTGAATGGATCGAACAGGACGAATCAGGAGTCTATATCACCATCCGGTCTCTTCCGGGTGGCTCGAGGGAGCTGAGACGCATTCGATTCAGGTAAAGAAACTGTCTCTACTTAACAAGTCTATGATAATTGGTACAGAATTTAGCCTCTTAAACTACACTTACAGCTTGATCTTAAACAAACTGTATTGTCAATTGTCATATGTTCATCTTGGTTGGTATGTCAAGCTGGAAACCATAGTCAAGGTCTGTGTTCAGAATCATCTTGTTTTTGACTTACCTCAAAAATCTGACCATAGTTCGGTTCGTTTTGGTTCAGTCGAGAAAAGTTCGGGGAAATGCATGCGAGATTATGGTGGGAAGAGAACCGAGCTCGGATACAAGAACAGTATTTGTGATGGGGTATAGCTTACTGGAATTGCATCTCTGCCTCTCTTTTTCTTTCAATTTAGACCTCTCTATGTGACTTATGATAGCAGGGATAACAGAATCTATACTGATGTTCATTCTGTCTCATTTCAGCAAGATTTCTCTTTCCATGGGCTTTCGATGGGCCCATTAAGCTCCCTTATTTCAGGTCCATTTCAGGCCCAAGTTTCTGGGCATCTACTTCGATGTCTGTCTTGAATCATTGGATTGGAAATAGAGAATTATTGACCTTTTAAAAAAGATAGATTTTTTTTAAAACATTTAAAATAATCGTTTATTATTTTTTAGCCATAACTTGTTTACCCCATGTGTGATTTAAATACACTAACACATTACTACATATACTTAAATAATATTCATAATTTGAATCAAAATAAATAGAACAAAAATAGTTAATACAAATACTCAAATAATGTAAATAAAGTCAAATAAATTTAACTTTTTAAAATTTTTATGGAGATTTAGTTGTAATTAAACTTGAAATATAAGCATTAAATGTTATTTTTATCATTCTTTTTTTTTTCCTCAAGAAAATTCAATTACAATGAAAATATTCTTTCACAAAAATATTGTGTTTATTTAGTTCTTGATTTTTCCATAAATTATTAAAATATAATATGATATTTAAACTTCGAATTTTTATTTAATAAATAATTATCAAGTTTGAACATTTAATAAATTAATCAAATCATTATGAAATTTATGTGTAATGATATAAAACTTTAAAATTTGTTTATGGGAAATGAGTGAATTTTTAAAATTTTTAATTTACAAAAAATCATAAATTTAAAATTTTGTAATTTTTTCAAAATTAATTTTAACCAAAGGCTTTGGACGGCCTTAGTTGTGAATGAGATAATCCATTGTGTGCTGCTGAGATTCCAGAGATGTTGAGAGCCGTTGTTGTACGCTGCTGATCGAAGCAGCTCAGCAATGGATGATCTCTGCTCCAACACGAAGGAGTAGAGCGCTGATCAAAGCACTTATTCCGCAGGTAAAATACTCGTCGACCTGTTTTCTACTACTGGAGTTCAAAGAAAATGCGTTTTCCTTGTTCTTGTGGAATTTTCTGATTAGAATCTTATAGAAAAGCATGAAGAAGAATTAGATGGAATTCAGATTGATTTTAGTTGCTTTCGCTTTTTCGATAATGACTACGAATCTGAAGAGACGGCTTGATAGTCGTTCTGTTTCTGAAATTGGAGCAGTGATTTAGGTTAGGAAATGAACTGGATGGTTTCATAGTGGATCTGACTGTTAATGAAGGCTTATTTTCATCCATTTTTCGATCTATCAAGAACGTGAAATCTACAAAGGCATATGAACACAGAATCCAGATTGCATAGTCAACATACTCGAATTCTTTTTTTTCTGTGGATCAAATGTTTGTCATCTTGTTCTGGTAGTGATAATTGTGGCCTTTAACTCTTTCAGTGTCTTTGAGAATCTGAGTTCTTTTTTTTCCTTGGTATTGCAGAAATTAGAAATATGAATTGACATTTTGTTTGCCTCCAAGTGTGTCCTTCTGTGGGACCTAACCCCTGAAAAACCCCTCAAATTACTCTCGAAAAGCCTAGAAAATGAAACATTTATCCTTTACCGTTGCTTGGGTCAAGAATCCGAATCTTTCTTTTTGTGCTGCTACTACTCCTAGAGCGGGAAAAGGATAAGAAAACACAAAGTGATCTCTTAGCTTTCCAACCCTTCAAAAAAGTATAATCGTCAAATAGCTCATAGGGAATCAGAAGCAAGCAGAGTAGGGAGTGAATTCCTTTAAAAAGCTTTCACTTAGAAAAATTGCGTGAATTAGTGGTAGAATTCTAAGGTTAGGCTTCTTGTACCTACACCCCATGGACAGACTTGGTTAGCTTAAACTTCATTAAGTGCTCCTCTTATACTGCAGACTTTTTATGAGGGCGTGAAAATCTCTCCTTAGTAGACGCGTTTTAAAACCATAAAGGAGACGGTAATACGTACTAGGCTAAAGCGGACAATATTTATGTGAGTTTTGACAATTACAAATAGTATCAGAGCCAGACACCGAGCGGTGCCAATGAGAACGCTGAGCCCCATGGGAGGTAGATTGTGAGATCCCATATTGGTTGGATAGGAGAACGAATCATTCCTTATAAAGGCGTGAAAATCTCTCCCTATTTGATGTGTTTTAAAATCATGAGGCTGACAGCGATACGTAACGGATCAAAGCGGACAATATTTATTAACAATAAGCTTGGGCTGCTATGCTAAATATCTACGATTTAAATATTTAAGATAATAATAGATGTCTTTTACCTGATGTCTAGATGTATGTGGAAAAATGAGTGTTGGAGAATTAAATATAGCAGAATTAAAACCCAAGCTGGAAAGTGAGGCTCTATGTTCAAAATTACTATTACGGCTTTTGTCTGCTTTTGACTAATGCATTGTGGCTGCTTACTGTTTCTCATATTACATAATCCTCTTTCTTATATTTCTCTTCTTAGACCTGCGACTGTGGATTTCTGTCGGTACGTGGATAGTAATAGTTGTTGGATGATGAAAGTCCCACATCGACTAATTTAGGGAATGATCATGGGTTTATAAGTGAATAATACTAACTTCTGGTATGAGGCCTTTTGGGAAGCCCAAAGCAAAGCTATGAGAGCTTATGCTCAAAGTGAACAATATCATACCATTGTGGAGAGTCATGTTCGTATAATATGGTATCAGAGCTATGCCCTAAACTTAGCCGTGTCAATAGATTGACAAATCCTCGAATGTAGAACAAAGGACTCCAAAAAGAAAAAAGGAGTCGAGCCTCCTCGAAGGTACGAAGGCAGTCAAAAATGACTAAGACTCCAAAGGAGTCGAGCCTCGATTAAGGGGAGGCGTGCTTTGTTCGAGAGAAGGTGTTGGATGATGAAAATCTCACATCGCCTAATTTAGGGAATGATCATGGGTTTATAAGTGAGGAATACTAACTCCATTGGTATGAGACCTTTTGGGGAGCCCAAAGCAAAGCCATGCTCAAAGTGTACAATATCATACCATTGTGGAGAGTTGTGTTTGTATAACAATAGTTAACTTGAATTATATTGCCCGTTAGGAATCAAATAATATGGTGAAAGCTAGTGCTAGTTATATAAGTAGCAACTTTGGCTATAGATTAATAGGCCAAACTTATAGTTTAATGGACAAAAACATCATTCTTAAGATTGACGGTTCAATCTTCACTCCATAAATAGTTGAATGAAAAAGAGAAAAAAAGCTATAGATCAATAGGAATCATAAATTGTTGAATGAAATCAATAGGAATCGAAGGATGGTGATAGCTAGTGTAAGCTATGTATATATTTTCTAGGAGAACAGAACTTTCATAGAGAATGAAACGAATCTTTGCTAATTCAATGACACGAATCAAAGGATGGTAAAAGCTAACCTTACCTAAAGATGGGTAGGAATGAATAGAAGGATGGTGAAAGCTAGCCAACTCTCGTTTCCACTTGAGTTTGAATTTTTCTTTTCTAGGTAGGAGCTAGAAATTCAAACCTCTAATTTTTTGGTTTTTTTGGTTTTTGGTTAAGAAGCTAACCGTACTTAAAGATTGTTAGGAGTGAATAGAAGGAGGGTGAAAGCTAGCTAACATCGTTTCCATTTACACGACTTAGCTTGAAACAACTATATATATATATATATATATATATTTTTTTTTTTTTTTTTTGGAGCTAGGAATCCAAATTTCTGATTAAGAAGCTAACCGTACCTAAAGATTGTTAGGAGTGAATATAAGGATGGTGAAATGTTTACCCGACTTAGCTTGAAACTACTGTTTTTTTTATTCTTTTGGAGCTAGGAATTTAAATATGGTTAAGCTCTGCTCATATACCTTAAGTAGTTGAGTGATATTCAAGTTGATATGTCAATGATTCTTATTATTTTCTTTAATATTATAATTTGGATATGAACTTGAAGATTTAAACTTGATCTCGAAGACAAGGTACTTCTCAATACTTAGAAAATGAACCCTACAAGAACTTTATGTTCTTACCAACACATTTTCTCTCAAAACCACAAAAGTCGTAGATCAAAACGTTTGTAGAGGGAGGTCAATAGTCCATAGTTAAAATGATCTTAGACCAATGAAGTGAATTAACGATCTCAGACCAATGAAGTGAATCAAAATGGTCTAGAGCGCCCATCGATTTAAAATAATGGATGCTTCTCTCATGGAAAAAAGAAATTAAAAGAAAGACGAGGGGGAAAAGTAATTCCCATTGGAATGATGAACTTTATAAAAGTTGAAGGATTAAAGTTAAAATTTGAGCATATTTCACATGATTAAGAAAAGAAAAGGGTAAGTTTGATTCCTCTACCACATGTTATTCTAAGCCTTTGAGACTTGTCGAATCTAATTGGGGGCTGCATCCCACTATCATCATCAACTCTCATTATGATAATCTCCTAATGTGCCAATTTTGAGTCCCTAACATCGAATTCCAATTCATCTTTCATATTTTCGATTAAAATTACAAGTTTAGTCTTTAAATTTTAAGATTCGTATGAAATAGGGGTAAGTTTCAAACTTTAGAAAGTATTTGATATTTAAGTTCATACCCTTTTGATTTCGTATCTTATGTCTTTGAACTGTTAATGTTTTATATATGAGGTATTTATTAAACACGACGTTAAACGTTCAATAAACCTATTGAATGTTGGAGTCCTCCAATAGCTAATTAAGAGGAAGATTTTGGATACATAAGTAAAAAACATTATCTTTATTGGGACGAGACATTTTGAGAAAACTAAAAGTGAAGTAACAAAAGATTATGCTCAAAGTAGACAATATTGTACAATTGTAGAGGTTTGGGTGTTTCATCAGTGGTAATTAAAGTCATGGTATCATAATCATGTTCTTATCTTAACTTAACTATATCAATAGGGACTCTCCTTTGTCTTCGTACACATATTTCATTAGTTTTCTTTTTTAATTTTTTAATAAAAACTTTGAAATCCTACCCCTACCTCTATCCCTATCCCTATCCCTATCCCTCTTAATCTCTTTAATTAAGTGATTTGTTTTATTCTAATCCATTTCTTTACGATAATCAAATCATGTCTCTCTTAAAATTATTTTTAAAAAAAATGAAAAATGAAAAAAAAAAAAAAAAAAATCTCTATGACCACGA